TTAAAAAAAATGTAAGAATACTGGAGAAATATAGTTTTTAAGTTAAATGAAGTTACGAATGCAAATTTTTTGTTAATATTAAATGATAATGTGTTATGTTTGACTACCCTGCCAGTTATGTCTGCACACGCTTATGTGAGGTATCATCATGGAGATCTTGGGGATATATATTTTAGCAGCTTTTAAAATATTTTCATCGTCATACATATTTAAATTGGCCGAAATGAGTCCTTCAAGTGGCATAACATCAATAAGCATTTAATTAAAACGAGCATCCATTAATTCTATTAAATAGTCAAGAAAAGGAATAAAAATAGAACATTTAAAATATATTTCTGGATTTTCAGAAATAAAGTTTTCTCTCTTAGTTTGCCTTTTACATACTCGTGACATTTTTACTTCAATATTAACACTTTTTCCCATGTTGACAACGTCATTAAATATTTAATAGTGACTCGCCACAACCTTGCATGATAACCATCAAAAAGATAATGATAATCATGGTAGAGACCAGAAGTATTAGTAATCTGTAATATCTACGCCAAAGACAAACACCTGTTATTTATTAATCGTCAAAATTTAGTTAATACCAAAGGTTTAAAATACTTAAATATCCACATTGTGGATCATTTTATAACGAAATCAAATTACGCATGACTATGAATACTGAATTGAGCTTTTTTCTGGGTTCATACTTAGTGAAAAATCAAATTAAACACAAGCGTAATTTTCAAAACACAGACAGGTGTTAAAAAAAACTACACAGAAGTCGATTCTAAGTGGATCCGGCATTGGATAAAAAAAAAAACACAAATATTAAGGATTCACCTGATTTAAATATTACCAAACATTTTACTTATAAATTTTGAGCCTGGATCCAAGAAAAATTTAAGTCGCTCCCCCCCCTAAAAAAAAAAAAACTAAGTCTAAATACGCCCCTGCTACACATTGTACTGCAAACTGCAATATTATTATTATTTTATTATTATGATTCCGCGGGTGCAACGAATGAAAAAAATGTTAATATTGTTTTTTTTTTTTTTACGTGTTCATTCGACGACCCCTGAAGGTACGTTCTCCCTTACGCGATCGCGAAGACCGGCAGTCGTCCAGTCGCGGATTCAGCACGTATGACGTAATAACGTTATGAAATAACAACAACAATAATAATAATGTTAACGTAATAATATATGCACACGCGGGATCGAGCATCGGCGAATGTGTTTACTCGCGCGGCGGCGTTCGATCAGCTGTTACCGGAATGGGAGCGGTGTACCGGGAGCCGCGGGTCGTGCACCGCTGGACGGCATTGGTGTGACGTCCGCCGCGGTTTTACGATAGGTCGTACGTAGTACGTGCAGTGGCTGCGCGGCCAGCGCCCGTGTGCGGGTCGTCGTTGCGAGTGCGTGCGAACGTGTCCCGTGCAATCATGCGACACGACTGCGCAGGCGCCACTGTTGACTGTTTTTATTATTGTTGTTATTATTATTATTTTTTTTTTCCACCCACCCGCCGGCCCACCACGCTCTCTCGTCTTGTCACTGGCTCCTCTATCGCTCTTCCCTCACTCACTCTCGCTCAAACTCTCTCTCTCTCTCGCACCCGTTAACCCGCCCGACCAATACTTCTATACACTCGTCTCCGTCTGTTGTTCGTCATCCACTGATCTGCGCGCAATCGTCGTATCTGTGCTTCGAGTTTGCGCGCGTGCGTGCGTGCTAGTGTATCCGTAGCCATCATAATAATAATAATAACAGTAGTGTAATAAATTAATTTGGTGTTGGCTGATAATAGAAACGAAATAAGAGAAAACAATTGAACCGCTCAGGGAGTAATCGAATTATTTTATTTCAACGGCGCTGCTCACGGACGACGCGAGGTACGTATTAATAATAATACAATATTTTCCTAGTCGAAACCCGCGCATCGGTGAAAAATATTGGTCGTTACGAACGACGACGTAGGTATTCATTTGTATCCGTCGACGGCCGTACGACCCACCAATGAGTAGGTTTGTTTCGACTCGAATAATATTAATTTAGTTCCGTCCGCCCAACGACGGTGACCGTCGGATGTTTCGTCGACCGATAACAGTATGTTTTGATCTTTTTGTCGTTCGCAGGCTCGTGTAAACGTCCGCCGCTCAACATAGGTGTGCCGTACTCCATTTCTGCTACCGCTACCGGGAAGAGGACCGTTTAACGACTCGATTGCCGACAAAATATTATTTCTTGCGCCGTCGTTCATACTTCGGTGTCGGAGAAAAGTCGTTTTCTGTCCGCCATGGACTCGTTGCGCGAACAAGTAATGATCAATCAATTCGTGCTGGCCGCTGGATGCGCCAGGGACCAAGCCAAACAACTGCTGCAAGCCGCTCACTGGCAGTTTGAAGTAAATATTATATTCACCGTCAACAACGCAAACTCATCCCTTTCCTATGCAACATTCAATCGACACCACATGCACCTAATATAGTATAATATATAGGTATGTCAACTTTCCCCAGGTGTGTTGTACATCAAACATTTGACCGACAGTCAAATTAGTTGTCAGAAATTTGGTTTTTGTTTATCTATTGTTGTTTGCTGTATTGTTCTTCATGACCTTGAACTTCAATCCAGCCTGCTGACCATTGTTTTTGTTTTGTGTTTACTTCTTTACATCCAACGACAGTCATCACTGTTTCTTGCTCTGGTTAAACAGTGAAAGTGAACCTTTGTGATCACTTCTGTTATTGTTCCATCCCTTGTACCCTAGTAATTAATCTATTGATTTAAAATTTGGTAATTCTTTCTCTTTTATTTTATTTTTGCACGCCCTGTATATCTTTATAAATAAGATAGTTATGTCTTCATTGTTAGTGATTTCTTAATTTATTTTACTAATGTAATTTTACACTTAAACTTTATTAAATTTTGAAGGTTCTTGAATTTTATTTAACTAATATTATTTATATCTAGACTATGTAAATAAATTGTTTACAAAAACAAATAATTCATGAGTGTATTTATTATAAGCTAAACTTTATAACTTTTAATAGGTAGTTTTTAAATTATAGATCATTCTCGACAAGTATAAATTAATATTTGTAATTATATTATTGTTATTACTTAATGTTCATTTTTATAGAATTAATATTTTAAATATTATATTATTTTAGACTGCACTCAGCATTTTTTTCCAAGATTCTTCTGTCACAAATTGCAATCAAAATTCAGCACAATTTGGCTTTGGACAAGTAATTTGTTATTATTAAGTATTCAATTTTTATACCTATATTATTGATTAAATTTTTCAGATGACACCTTGTAATACTCCAGCTACACCACCCAATTTCCCAGATACTCTGATTGCTTTTTCACGCATGACAACTTCATCCGAAAGTTCAAAAATGGGATCATCTCCAAGTAAATATAAAAAATGTATTTTATAATTAAATTGTTTGGCAAAAGTAAATAAAACATTAAGCAAGTATTATCAAATATTGTTAATGTTTAAATAAAAAAATATTGTTATGTTATTTTATAAATTACATTCAGAATTGGCTTAGTCAGACTTAACTCGGCATTAGCCTAATATTTTTCGAACCACATCTACCAATTTATTCTACCGTTATTGAAGACAAAATTCAGCCAATAAAATCGGTCAGACTTCATATGGATTTTGGTTAAATTCATAAAATGATACAGTATACACATTTATTTCTATAGTTTCTCTAGTTAGATTTCAACACACAACATGAATGTTGCTGATAAAATGTTCTTATTAGAACAAACTAATACACTAATAAAATATTTTATTTTATTTACAATAGAAAGTAAAAAAAAATATATGTATTATAATTAAATGTAGTACATCAATTTAGTAAATTATATTTAATCATACCATAATTAAATTATTTACTTCTTTCATATATATAACAATCTTCATATCAAATGTATTATTATATTATTATAAAAATTACAATCACTATATATTATATACATACTTTTGATTCCCATTTCCGCTGATATATCCTGCAACAACTTTCTACAAACTTCCCTATTGTGGTAACATTTTAATTTAATGTTCCATCAAGACTCTTTTTCGAATTTTAAATTTATTAATTTTTTACAGTCAACCATATTGTAATATTATCGAGACGAATGACAAAAGAAAAGTGACAAATTTACTACTTGTGTATCATAATGTTATTAAAATTAAATTATTCGGTCGGAAAAAAACAAAATATTTTGTTTTCATCCAGTATCGAATGTTTACAACCAAATTTATCAATGTAATGTGACTGGTATAATTTAAATTCATACTTTTTTTTTTTTTGCTCGTATTCAGCTGATGTCAGGTCTAGTCTAACCATAGCCTTAATAATACTTTATTTCAATTCATATTGTAATTTACAATGTTAGTCTTTCAATTTTAAATTAAATATTACATATTTTAATTATTAACAATGGTCATTGAGACTATATGTTAAAATGTTTAAAAATAAAGTAATCTATCGTCTAAAGTAGATTAATATATTTGATTTAACAAAAACAATTATTATCAAGAAACCAGTTGGCATTATAATTAAATATTTAGATAAAATGATCTACTACAGAAAAAAATGAACTTTAAACTATTTTATTCAGCCCAAAAGAACTAAAAATATACTAGAATACTTTATATATATATATATTTTAACTGTATTTATCTGTAATTTAATATTTCAAAAATTCCGATATTAATTTGATAATAAATGTTAATTTACTATCTAATGTTAATTCATAATCATAGAGGTATTGAAAATTGCCATTGTTAACTATATAAATAATTTTATATTATTTAACTAACCTGTAATTTAATAATTTTGTTAAATAAAGTTTTAAGGTTATAACATAATACATTTTTTATTTTATTATAAATCAAATATTTAATTCTAAACTTATAACAAAAAATTTAAATAAAAAAAATACACAAACTTTAATTTTTAGATTATCATCATTGACCAATCAATACTCATAATTTTTTTAAATTATTGTTATTTGTGCAATTGTAATTTACTAATATACTATAAAAAAAAAAAATGTACAAACAATTTAAAATTAGTGTAATTTGTACTTTTCTTACTATTAAAATATAACTAGTAGTAATATTATAAAATACTAATGCAATAGATATGAAAAAATTAAAATTTGGACTGCCCAAATTATTTACAAGTTCTATTTTTTGTAAAATATACAATTTTTAAAATAATTTTTTTAGTTCAACTTAATATTTTAATGTTATTATAAAGTATAACAAATAAATGTACCACAACTAAACAGTTCTAAAGCTTGACACAAAATTATTTTACAAAAAGATTTTTTACCTTTAATCGAATACTGAATTTATAGTTAAATATTAATTAATTTTTTTGTTTTAGATATGTCTGTCTCTCCACAAAATAGAACCTCATTAGAAAACAGTCAGTCAATAAGGCATCCATACTCACATTTAGCGCCTAACACAATTTCAAATAACACATAGTTAATGATAATAAATATAATTTTAATATTTTAAATATTAACTTAGCCATATACTGTTTTAGTGCCCAAAGAAGATAATTTGCTTTTTGTAACTTTTTACTTTAGAATAATTGTTCAGACATATATTATCATTTGATTGTTATTACATATATGTATATATATATATACATATATACATGCATGTATGTATTTTGTGTATGTATATATATATATATATATATATAAGTGAGTGTGTATATATTATTTATTTATTTTTTGATTTATTGTCTTATTTCTGTTAAGAATTTTCACTAGAATAAGTTATTTATGAAAAACATATATTCAATTTTAATATTTTACTTAAATCATGATTAAAATTTTATCAAAACAAATCGTTACTATTAAATGCTTATCTTATTACTTGTTGTTTCAACCAAAAGATCAAACTTGAAATTGTTTTTATTGTTATTACATATTTAATATAAGAAAAAATTTATTTTTTATTTTTATTTTCAATATTTAAAATTTCTTTGCATCGGAACAGATATCAAGTGTTTCAAAAATAATACAAGCCAACAATAATTCTTATGAACGTGTGTGAGAAATGCTGCTGTATGTTAACAAAATTTAAAATAGTCTTGAAAACAATTGTTAAATAAATAAAATATGTACATTATTTTGTTAAAAAAAAAAACGTTTATTGACTTTAATATTGTCCTGTTATCTGTGTGTTTACCATATTATAATCAAACTATTCCTTTTTATTGTTGTACATATTATAAAAATATTCAAAATATATAATAAAATACATCATATAGTATTGTGAACAAATTATATATTGCTTTAATTGTAAAAACCACAGGTCGTTTTAAATTATTTGTTGTTGAAAAAGATACAATTTATAGGAAATAAGGTTGGCTCATTAATCATTAATGATAAGACTGTAATAGTCACAAATTGATATACATACTAGATCAAATAATTTAGTTGATGTAGAGAGTATATTAATTATGATTTATTAGTATGATATACAACAAATACTATAGTCTTATTATTGATTTATGAACAATTTATTTTATTTTAGTTATTGATTTTTAATAGTTGATTGTGTGCATAGCATCACTAGGAATTTTGTCAGGTCATACAAAATTTCTAAATTTTTTAAATCCTTGCAGTATAAAGTTATTTTAATTTTCTTTGGGAGCTACTGAGTAATAATGCAGGCTACTAGAAAATTGGATAACAATCAGTGATGGGCTGAAGCATAAGCGTGCACACGGGGTAGTCAGGGTAGGTACTTGACTATTCTGTGAAACTTCCCACCCTCACCAAAATATTCAAT